AGAGTAAATGAAATTCCGAGTAGATAAACTTTAAACCTCTCTACAGCCCATACTATTCCCAGAGCTTCTTTCTCAATAGGTGGATAGCGTTGTTCAGTCATTGAGAGACTTCGAGAAGCATAGCTTATCACGCGAGGCTTGCTATTCTTCACCTGTATCAAATTTCAAAATTCGAGGATAAAAATCCTTTTACTGAAGTAATAATAATAATTAAATAAAAATACCTGTATCAATACTGCTCCAAGACCAACACCCGATGCATCAGTAACAAGAATTGTCTGGTCCTTAGGGTCATAATACCCCAAATTTTGCAAATTTCCCATGTTTTGCTTTATTGCGTCAAACGAACGTTGGTGAAGAGAATTCCATTCGAACGGTGTCGAATTCTTGAGCAATTCTCTTAGAGGATGGTTTTCCGTTGCCAGGTTTGGGATGAAGCGGGAAACGTAAGTAACGAGTCCAAGAAAACTTCTCAATTCTTCTTTACTCCGTGGTGCTCGACATTGAAGAATAGACCGAACTTTGGAATCGGTTGGAAGAACGCCTTTTTCTGAGAGCTTGTGTCCAAGAAATGTAATTTCTTTTTGCTTGAACCTACATTTCTGCATGTTGAGCAACATCCCATGTTCTTTCAGGACTGAAAGAGTTTTCCTTACAGCGTCGTCGTGGTCTTCTTCGGAGGTTCCCCAGATCAGAATGTCATCAATGAAGACAACTGTATTCGGGCAGTTCGACAATATGCTTTCCATTAAATTTTGAAAGAATTCTGGAGCATAGTTGACTCCAAATAGTAGTCTTGTATATCGGTAAAGTCCCCAATTAGTCACAAACGTTGTTATCTCTCGACTTTCTTCTGCCAGCTCGACTTGATGGAATGCTTGCTTGATATCTAACGTAGTGAAAATGGTGGCACCATTGAACTTTGGAAGGATATTTTCGAACACCGGGAGCGGATGATTTAGTCGCTGAATTGCTTGATTGGCGCGTCTCATGTCAACGCATAGACGTAATTCCCCATTGTCTTTGAGAATGGGAACCAGTGGTGACACCCAAGATGACGGTTTCGTTACACGTTCGATTATACCCATCGCTAGTAGTTCATCCAGTTTGCTTTTTACTTGGTCCAGTAGGGGAATTGGACAACGTCTTAGAGGCTGAATAACTGGTGTCACATGTCGATTAATAGGCAGGATTAGTTGAAAATCTCTGATTTTAGGGAATAATTCTACCGGTTTTACTTGGTTAACGTCATCTTTAAAGGAACTAGGTAGACCAACACGCAAAAGACCAAGTTCTCGAGCTGTTATCTTACCCAGCAACGCTTGTTGGCCTCCCTGAATCACATAGAAGGTTGTATTGGTGGAAATGGTTTTATTTCCATCACGTACTTCGATAACTGCATCAAAGACAGTTAACAGGTCCAAAGGTACTCTGCCATAGGCCAAGAACTTTTTGGAACTATCAAACCTTTCAGAATAATAGTTAGCCTTACTTAGCTTCATGAGCTCCCATGTTCTGTCGTCTATCAAATTGAACGTAGATCCAGAATCAATAAGCATTTCTATGCTGACTCCTCCGACGCGACATTTCAGGAGTTCATCATTTTCGTTGTCAATTTTGTAAACGGAAAATTCTTCTGGTTCACCTGTTTCATCTGCCAGCTCTACATTCATAACGCTCTTAAATCGTTTGCTCTGAGCCGCCTGCCCAGAATGCATGGGCGAAAATCTTCGCTTATGTGTCTCTGATGACTATACAATATAAAATATTTAAGGAAATTACAATAAATCATTAGGATCTAACTCTACAAAACTGAATAGTATTCTTACATTCCTCGCATTCTGTTTGCACATCGATTGAAAGTGACCTACATTTCCACATCGATGACACTTCCTGTCAATGGCAGGACACTTCTTTGGTGTCACATGCCTGAACCGTCCACAACGATAACACCTATCTTTATATGCGGGTAGCCCGGAGTCTTCTGGCTTCCGTACAAACAAACGATTGATTTCTGCCGGATGGTTGAACTTAGGTTTCATTTGATCAGCTTGGTAGATGACAGACTGATAAGCATTGACGATTTTTGAACAGACGTCCAAAGTTAAATTGTCTTTTTCCAGCAACTTACGACGCAATTCATCAGAAGCATTTTGAATAATTTTATCAATTATGGCTGTTTGACGACATTCATGCTCCGTTTTGCCAAACGAGCATTTCTCTGCTTTTTGCTGTACTCTGAGCAGAAACTTCTCTATGGGCTCATCCTTTTCTGGTTTCATAGTCCAGAATTGGAACCGCTCAAAACTATCATGGTGCTTTGGTGCGAAATGCTCTGAAAGCTTATCTTTAGCTGTCACATACGGGTCACTTCCATCCAAGCCATCAACGTCTGCTCCAGGAATTCCATAAAACACTGACTGAAGCTCAATGCCACCCATGGCCAGCATTTGAGCCTTACGACTGTGGCCATCCAAAATGTTTGTGGCCGTCATGACATTTTCAAACCACCTTATCCATGATGTCCAAGCACTCCTCACTTCAGTTGCCGGTAAGTGGGAGTACTTAAACTGTGGTAAATTATATGACGCTGGGCTGAAGAAAGACATTGTCTGAATAATCGGTTCGTCGTTTTCCATGATGGCCTAGTACAAAAAAATTATTTATTTATTTATTGTTCACCGCCTTCGACCACATGGTCGCACAAACTGATTGATTGGCAAAATGATTGTTTTTTTTTTCTTTCATAACTTAATTTTTTTTCAGAAATTTATTTCAAATCACGTTGCTTCAAACACACCGTAGTCCTTAAAATTTCACAGGCCTTGTCCAGTACATAACAATAAAAATACCCATCACCAATAAACACAACATTAACTACAATAACTTAATCACGCAAACGTCTATCACAGATTGTAATCAGTGATTTCACCATCGATTTCAATAGTGAATGTAATCATAGCGTTGATAACGCTCTCCGTGAATTTAATCACAGTGCCTGATGCACTCTCGTGAATTTAATCACAGTGCCGATGCACTCTCGTGAATTTAATCACAGTGCCTAATGCACTCTCATGAATTTAATCACAGTGCCTGATGCACTCTCGTGAATTTAATCACATGCCAAGTCAGATCCATGCTCTAACCGCAGCTACCATCACATATGAGTCAGTTTATTCAAGCATTATTTTTTTCAAATTATCAACCAAAACCGTTGACTACACAATCTAACTAGAGCTTCCAACAGAAACAAGGCTATGATTCAGTGTTTGATATCGAAAGAAAAACTATGATTTTTTTCCCCACTGCTTACCATTCTTTTATCGGTGTTTGTTGTAGTCAGTGTATGCAAGTTTTCAAAATCTGCTCAAATTCGGCTCATTTCCAAAGTAATTCTTTTTTTTTCTGCATGACCAACAAATTCGAGTACATTCCAACCAATACTATTCAGCTATTCCAGCACTAACACACGTTTGGCAATGGAAATGAATCATTGACAATTATAAAGTCTCACACATCCATCGCTCAGCTGTTCAACATGAATGGTGTGAATGGAACAAGACCATCTCTAATTGGACATTATTAAATAAAATTCTAATAAGACTACACGAGATAGTCATATCATTTCTTTTTATTTCACTGTTGAATAGTAATGAGAACTGGTCGTTGAGAAAATTAAAGTTACATACCTTAGTTGTCCGTTAGCATCAGTTAAAATACCTTACCCCTCTCCTAACGCATCAAAATTTGCAGTCAAGACATCCTTTGCGGGCTTACTCCAATTTCAACGCAACGCCAGATGGAAGAATTCCAGCTAGTAGTCTTCTCTACATTAACACTAACACACATGAATAACATTTCTCTAATCACACGTATGGGTACATCTTTTGCATTTCTTCCGACACTGGGGTATCGGGGTCTATCTCTCACTTTCTCTAGTTTCTTCTATCAACACCACCACTGTTTACCACCATTTTATTATGGCGTGTTCTTTCCACGCAAGCAGCAAGATGACCTTGAACCATTCTTATACAGATTCACATTTAATAAATTTTGCCTCATGCAAAACACTTATTTTTTTTTTTACCGTTGCATTAAAGATCACGAAATTAACATAAACGTAGTACATTCATTAATTAATTTTTTCCATCACCATTTTTTTTTCTGACCGATTCCAAGATGGCGGACTACGGCGTATTTGATTGCGATTTGAAGCGAATCACTTTTCTAAGCTATATCACACATTTCATATTCCACTGAAATAATCACCTGCTATTCTTGAAATAATTACCACTTTAGAACATTGAAATTTAAATTCACAAAATTATATCCGCAAAACTTCCACTTTTTTTTTTTCCTCGTCGCCACGTGTGATGCCGAGTATGTACGTCCAATGTAGCGAAGTCCGTACAATGGAATGACGAGTGGCCCATTGGATGGTAGCTATATTCTCCCCATAGAGAGTGACGACACTCACACTAGTATAATGCGTGCAGTATATATAAAGACTCAGATTATAGATCACCACAGGGCCTAACAGCTTTTGTAAACAATGACTTCAATCGATGATTTCGATAAATTCAAGGCTCGCCCACGCAAACCAACCCCCTCATCGGATAGGGAAACACTTCCCCTATCCGATGGTTATGTTGGTCTGCGTGGACGTGCCTTAAGTTCTTAGAAATCATCGATAGAAGTCATTGTTTACAAAAGCTGTTACGCCCTAATTCCAGCTCTATCTAGAAATGAACAAAGTCGATCGGTTTTATGTCATTCATGTCGATGTTGTCAATTTGTCAACTTGTCACTCCCAACATAGTTTACCCATTTTTGGGTAGGTTCAGTTTTGAATGATCTGGGGGGACTCTACCCAAATTTGGGAAGTTTTAAAATAGCGTGTACATATTCAACTGCGCGGAATTGATATTTTTTCTCAAATTTGGCACCACGGCAAGAATAAGGTTTGCTTCGCAGTGCACTTGCAGTTGTCAAATGCACTTTTCAATATTAAACATGGCTGGTGTTGTACTGCGCTAATGTTATTCGAACAGAGAAATTTGAACAATTAGTATGCACGTAAGCAGTAAATAAGCGAACCAAAATTGTTGAAAATTGTGCATTCGAATCTGATAATGCTGAAAAAATAATAATCGAAGCCTGCAGCTAGCTACAAACATCTTTGAAGGGGATTTTTCTATTCGTGCAATGGTTTTCTCTACACGACCTAGATACTTAACATGTAAGTAAACATTATTGGAAAATAAAACTGGTGTTACGAGAAAAATGTATGCGATTTTATGGTAAAACGACGCGATGACGAAAAAGTGAATCAAGTTGATTTGTTCTGTTGCATGACAATCATACTGTAGTGATGTTTTTCTTTCTTAAAAATCTAGTATGTATGTGGGGCGCAATTCACTTGTAGGGAGGGCCTTACAGGTAACATTGTCTGCTGTGTTTTGATGACTCGATGCAAACAAATATGTGATCCAATATCTAGAAAGCATATATCATTCAAAATGATAGATGTTGAATATTACTAGTTAAATTGTATGTTTCAAGAGCTTTTTTGCAATGGTAAGATAGTTATAATAGTAATTTTAAACGATATGCGAAACGTACATCAGAGTGATAATTTGGTTCAGGAAGTAAATTCAATTCAACATAAGATCAGTGTTGTAAACGTTGCCGAATCTAATGGTTTTATTTTTCCATACGTTCAGAGTATAGCCCATAACATTTAATATAGGCTACATTGATATCAAAAGTCATACCTACGATTTCAGGTACAAATTATTATATGATTTTTTTTCCTTGATTTTGTTTTCCGTCGATCTTGTTTTCCGTACTACCAATGCTACCGACGCCAGGGAGGCAGCTCCCACACCTGGACCCTACCTATCGACCCATCAACTCATGAACCGGGAACCAACGACTTTACTTCCCTTGATCAGAGATGTTATGCCTCAGAACATCCCGGCGGCGCCTACTGGGATTGAACCCAGACCTGCTGGGGTGAGAGGTAATCACGCACTACACTACACTACCGGCGCCGCTATATTATATGATATCAGCCATAGTCTGAACGTACTATTCATAGTTATAAGTCTGCAAGACTATTCATAGTACGTTCAAACTATTGCCGCGGATACACTTGTATGGACTTTGAACCCAGACCTGCTGGGGTGAGAGGTAATCACGCACTACACTACACTACAATACACTACCGGCGCCGCTATATTATATGATATCAGCCATAGTCTGAACGTACTATTCATAGTTATAAGTCTGCAAGACTACTAGTACGTTCAAACTATTGCCGCGGATACACTTGTATAGGCTTGTATGATAAACTATTAAGGGCCACCCACATTAGATCCGTTTGCGTTGCGTTGACGTAAATTTGACAGTTAGACAATAGATTCAGCTGTCACTTTGCCGCAACGCGTCCGATCCGGATCTAATGTGCGTGGGCCTTTAGAATGAGCATTATTTGCGTTATAAATAATGAGCACTGTACAAAAACTATGCCATGCAGGAGTATGAGTTTTATACACATAATGGTCATGCTCATAGTTTGTCATACAAGTGTATCCGCGACATATGGCTGATAACATGTAATATAGGCACTATTAGACATTTTTATAAGCGGGGTGGGTTACATTTGAAAAATACGGGATTGTAATTTAAATTTATTATGTCTACGATACCCTAGGAAAGGTTTTAACGAGCACTAGAGATTTTTCTGCATTAAAAAAAATCGCTTTGAAATATGAATAATTCGTAGAATTTTAGGCTCGATCCGTAGATCCGTGGTAAATTTTAATAATCCGTAGACTTGAAAACACTGAATATATGAATATGAATTTCATCGGCCTCATAATATTCATGTATAATTTTGTGGTGGGATTTACAGCTATGTGATCACAGGAAAGCTATGTGAAATTCACATGGATTGCATCCATTAGATATGTGATAATTTTGTAACTAAATACACTTACAGTACAGCAGTTGTTTTCAACCATTTTTGTTCCATGCCCCCTTTTCAAAAATTGCTCACCACCGTTTTCCCCTCCATAAATGCAAGAAAACTTAGAATAATTACTCGTTCATACTACTTAGTTGTAACATGTTATAATAATTATCGACAAGAAAAATGTAACCAAGATAGGCTTATAACAAGTTATAACGAATCTATGGCATTATCCCGAACGGTACACTACCATAAAAGTAATTACCCCGAATTCATTTCTAAAGCTGTTTATTTTTTTACTAGTTGCCAGATAGATCCGGAAGCCTGTTGAATATTGCTACTAGGTGATAAATGTGATGTGCGAGGAAGCATTCGCAAAATTTTGATTTATTTATGGTTTATATTGCAATTTGCAAAAATAAATTTTGTGTGGTCGTACTTTAAAGAACAGTTGTCCTTGACGTGAGAGTGAGTCACTACAAATCATGTGCACAACATCATATATTTTCGTAACATTATTGTTTTCAATTGGAACCGAAAAATAAATAGATTCTTGGCAGTAAATAACGAAAAATTTAAAGAGCCAAATGATCACACACCAAGCCAAACTGTTGAAAATCCCCCTTCGCAGAGTAACACATACACACTATTTACTATACTCAAATTTTGAGTAGCGCCAAGAGTTAATGGAGAATAGTCCATTTTATGAAATGACAGGAGCTGGTTTGCCTGCCAGAATTTGATGATATTGATATTGCTTCTCACAGCCGTTAGGTAACCGCCTCCTGTCAAAGTTCATTCATGAGTTGAACCAGAAACGTCTCATAAAATGCTCTATTAGGTTAGACGCCGATCGTTTAACCGAAACTGAATTTTAAGGCATACTTCGGCATATGTCACCGGTATTTTATGAATTTGTATAAAAATACAACATGTTTATAAATAATTTATCCACGGTGCAAGAACCTTTCAAAACTCTAAGGATTGTCTTCAAGTTTAAATTTTTTTTTCTAGTATTAACATGAAGTTAGTTTTAAGTCTTACAATCCTCTGATTTCCCAAACCTGGATCATTTTAATTTCCCTCACATCATTTTTTTTTTAATTTTCCCAAGAATTTTTGTAGAAACAAGTTTCAAGTTATCTCATTCAAATTTTTGATAAAGATGACAGGAATCATGCTCAATAACATTAGGAAGAAAACCAGCATTAATAATTAACCAGGGTGGAAAGGCTATAAATTGGTTTTACGAATTATTGTTTAAGGAATCTAAAGCTTGTAAGAAATTAAGATCCAAAGAATAGGTTTTTTTTAATATTTTGTGACTCCGACAATTGAGCAATGCAAAATGATAAAACATCACTGCGTCCTAGCAAGAAGTACGGTCGACTTGTTTCGCGCTCCGTTGTTTTGGAAGTTTTCCCGGTATTTGCTTGATATTAATTATCAGTTTTTTTTCTCACTAAGTGACTCCTGGCATAGTTCCCGGTAAATTGAACGAAAAGTGAGTTTTTTTAGTAGAAAGTGTCATTTTCGGAAAGATTAATCCGTGCTATTGGTAATTCGCAAACCAATTTGGGCATCATCGTTGCGTGGTCACGCATACCCGCTCACGTATCATCATTATCGAGTGTGAGCATCTACATCATTCATCAATCGTCGTGCGCCTGTGTGCGCTGAGTACCGAGCCTCGATCAAGTGCACCACAACGAAGGTCATCCACGCTGCGCGTCGCTTCTCATCCATCTGTGTAAATGCCTACACATATAACGCTCGGTGATAGTAGTATAGGATTATCAGATAAGTTTTTGTTTTTTTTTCTTGTCTCTTTTACTCCCCCATTAGTTAAATTTTCATTTTGTATTTCTGTATTTGTAGTGTTTTCTGTGTATTGTGTCTGTTCGAGTTTAAACATCTGTTCAGTGGGAGAGCGCTCCCACTAGTAGAACAAAATGGATGTTTTGTCGGAAGACGACATGGATGATCATTCATCTCAGAAAACTGATGATGTCATCCCTGGCTCGTCGTCTCAGTCTGTCAATGGGCAGGCTGAAAAAAGCACCAGATTGCGGGCTTACCCGATTGACTCGACTGGCCCATGGGTTGTTTATTTTCAGCCTAAAAACAAACCCTTGAATGTTGTTCAGATATCTGATGATCTGACAAAGCGATTCTCTGCCGTGACCGAAATAACGAAGGTTAGGCACAACAAACTTCGTGTGACCGTCGCTAACCTGAAACAGGCCAATGAAATTGCTGTTTCCCAATTTTTCACACTGGAATATAGGGTGTACATTCCAGCCTCTGATGTGGAGATCGAAGGCGTGGTCACTGAGGCGAGTCTGAATCCCGAGATACTGGAGAAGCAAACGGTTGGCCGATTCAAGAACCCCTTGCTTCCTCCGGTAGAGATACTGGCCGTTCATAGAATGAAGTCAGTATCGCTCAGCGAGGGTAAAAAGAGTTTTACCCCCACAGACTCGTTTCGGGTGACCTTTTCTGGATCTGCCCTTCCTCAATACATAGAGCTGGGAAAACTTCGTCTTCCTGTGCGGTTGTTTGTACCTCGGGTCATGAACTGCCAGAATTGCAAGCGGTTTGGACATACGGCCTCCCACTGCGGCAACAAGGCACGCTGCTCCACATGCGGGGAGAAGCATGATGATGGCGCCTGCGCAGCTACTGCACCAAAATGCGTGTACTGCAACGGAACTCCTCCTCATGCTCTCTCGTCGTGCCCGGCGTACAAACAGCTCGGGGACAAAATGAAACGCTCCCTTAAGGAACGTTCCAGGCGGTCTTTTGCAGAAATGCTTAAGACAGCCACGCCATCGACCAATGACAAAAATCCCTTTTCTCTTTTGTCAGATGACGAGACTGACTCTGACTTGGCTGAGGAGGGAACATCTTTCAGTTTTTCGGAAGGTTCTGCACGGAAACGAAAGCGCATCCGTTCGCGGATTGTTGCAAATAAAGAACCCCAAATCAGCTTGCCCAGAAACCTCTTCTTCATCTGGGTTGTTCTCATTTGATGACATTGTGGACGGTATTCTCAAATACCTCAACATTTCTGATCCTCTGAAAAGCATTGTTCTCACATTGCTTCCCTCTGTGAAATCCTTCTTGAAGCAATTGTCTTCAAAATGGCCCCTTCTTGCAGCTATCATCTCCTTCGATGGATAATTTTCCAAACGAGGTCGGGGATTTGATCACTATTCTACAGTGAAATTGTCGAAGTCTTATTCCGAAATTAGATTCGTTCAAGT